CCCCAAAACCCCAAAACCCCAAAACCCCAAAACCCCTTAGCCCTTAAATTCGTCAAATTTAAGAGATAAACTTAAATTATAAAATTAACTAGAATTTAATGGACTCTATAAAAAACAAAGCAAACAATATCTTTATGAGCTTAGCGACTCCATTTGTAGGAGTACTGAAGGACAGCAAGTTCTTGGAATAAGGAGTGCTAACTCCTTAAGAGTATATCATTGCTGGAGACCAATTGACACATAAATGCCCCACCTGGAGGTAAAACTTATTTTTGACTAATATTTTCATTATAGTTGGATGCCAGGAGATCCCAAGCTCAGAAACAAGAATTTACCTGAGGACAAGCAGTTTTTAGTTAGTTATATTGATTATTTGAACCAATATTAGGTGACCAAGCATGTTCCATGCTCAAAGAGAATCAAGGATCTCTAAGGTGAGGAATCAAAAGAGAAAGATCTAGACGATGGATGGGTAGAGACTGAAGGTCCAATCGTGAAATAAAATACTGATGGAAAGGCATCAGCAGATATTGATGATATTGGAGACATTGATATGGAAGATATTGGAGGAAATGCTCAACAATCTGAAGCAGTATTGATTAGTCTGAATGTTTTATGCATTTTTAGGTTGATATTGATGATATTGACAATATGGACAACAAAGAAGTCAATTTACTTGCTGCTAAAGATTACATAGTTATGAATGAACCCGAAGATACATGCCATAAAGTTAGGACCTACGATCTATCCATTACTTACGACTTTTACTATCAAACTCCAAGACTTTGGCTATTAGGTTATGATGAAGATGGAAATGTTTTGAAGGAGAGTGAAGTATTCGAAGACATTATGGCTGATTATGCTAAAAAGACAGTTACTATGGAGCCACATCCACATCTCGGAATGAAGCAAGCAAGTATTCATCCTTGCAATCATGCAAAGGTAATGAAGAAGATTATTGACACCATTCAAAGCAATGGAGGCACTCCTTAAGTTCATTAATCACTTTTCGTATTCTTGAAGTTTATTTCGAGTGTTGTACCAACTATAGAATATGATTTCACAATAGACTTAGAGTTAGATTGATTCAAAACGCACATATCATTATTACGCACTTACTCATTGAATCATTATGAATTTAATATCTATTAGAATTACTAAAACATAGCTTTAGAGGGGTTTTGGGGTTTTGGGGTTTTGGGGTTTTGGGG